CTAAACCCGAAACCCTAAAAGGTTTAAACAGAGAGCGCTCCTCGGAGGCAGCTGCTCGCCCAGCCCCCGGTGCTGAGCCGAGCCCGGAGGCCTTTGGACTGTCCTCCAGTCTTTGGGGCCTCAGGGTGTAGGGTTTTAGGGTTGAGGGTGTAGGGTTTTAGGGCTTAGGGTTTAGGGATTAGGGCTTCGGGTTTAGGGTTTAGGGTTTTAGGGTTTAGGGTTTAGGGTATACTATACTAGAAATCTGGAAGGAGCCACCAAAACAGTATATATGGAATTATTTAGGCTCCTAGTCCAATGCTTTTCTCCCTGCTCATTGCGAAGTCCAGGCCACCATCCCATAAGCCAAGAAATAGGGGTCGGAATGATTAGCAAGACTATCCCTTGGGTTCCTTATTCTGGTTCTTCTAGAATAATGTACCCCCAAACCCATTTCTAGTTCTTGAGGGCCAAAATACCCCTTACAGTAACCCTGACAGACCCCTTAAAAGCAAAAAACAAAAGCCTCCAGTGCTATTTGCTGAAGGGCCATCTAGCGGGCGGGGAGAAGCACGTTTGGGTGGCAAGTGCGCGGATGAGGCTTTCGCGCAGGCACTGTCCTGCGACTCCACACCCTGACCCTAAACCCAGGGTGCAGGGTTTTGAAATGTCCAGCTAGTCCTCAAATGCCCGAGCTTCGCACAGGACCTGGACGATGGGAAGCGACAGACGATGGCCCCTCACAAAGCCTTATGGTTTAGTGCTTAGGGTCCGTGTTTAGGGTTTCGGGTTCCAGCCTATTTATGAAACCATTCTAGGTTCCTGAGTAGTACCCTTTTGCCCTTTTTCTTTTCCGGGGGCCCCGTGATTCGAACCGCAAAGTAGGAGAAAGGGTACCCTTATTACAAAGGGGCTATTCAGAAACCTAGCCATAGTTACGACCTGGGGATGTTTCCGCAACCCTCCGAGCCCCTAAATCCTAAACTCGATGCCCTCAAGAGGGCCCATTACATTTTAAAAAGAAATGGAGCCGAAACTCGAAGCCAAGAGCTCTGACCCTACTTCGGATGCTACCTTGCCGCGATGCGACCATCTGGCGAAGTGCGCGTCATGGTGGTGGTGGCCGTCGTCGTCGTCGTCGCAGTAGTA